AATCTGAATAACATTTTTAATTCTTTGCTTCAGCCAACATCTGCCATCTTCAATCAGAGGGGCTGAAGGGTTTTATAATATATGCTATACCTATGACACAGAAAGCAAATGAGCCACATCTCACAAGAAGCCTGCAGTCGACTAAAAGTAATTCTCACATGTGCTACCGTGAAAACTACATTGTCTTTAGAGCTGGCTTTTTTTTTTTTTAAATAAAAATCTTTGGAACACTACTTTTTGTTAAAACCAACTCAATTTTATCTTCTTAGATACGATCTACCCTGTTAAAATCCTTGTGGCTCCTCATTTTGTCTTCTGCCATATAAGCTTCCCTCCCAGACGATTTCATTCCACCCCATCGACTTCTCAAATGGGCATTTCTAACGATGCTACGTGATACAAAACCCAAGGCAGAGCCCTGTGGTTGACTCTCGTCAGACAAATAGCCCCTCCCTCAGGGACATTATGGGCCAGTTCTAACAGAGATCTCCTCCAGCACATTTGACATCCACCTACAAATCAGTACCTTTTTGACAGGGCAGTTCAATCAATTAAAAATACAACCACCTATGGCATTCAGACTGTATATTTTCATCTTGGAGGAATTTCAAGAGGGCCTCTGTCAAATGCATTGCTAAAATCCTCAGGCCATCCCACACATTCCTCTGATCTACCAGGTGAGTGACCCTATCTATGAAAGGTCAGATGAGGGGGCAACCTTGTCACAGCTCTGTTGTTTATGTATTCTCTAATTAATATACAGCTATAGCTGTGCAGATCTAAAGACAGGTCAAAACAAACAAATAGAAATGAGTTTACTTGTAACTCAGGTTCAAATGAAATGTGGACAAATTCAGACAACATCTGTTGTGCAATGAACTGTCTTCTCAAAAGATATGTCGAGGTCCTAACCCAGGTCCCTGTGAAATGTGGCCTCATTTAGAAAAAGGGTCTTTGCAGATGTAATCGTGTTAAGATGCGGTCGTACTGGATTAGGGTGGGCCCTAATTCAATAACCGATGTCCTTATAAGAAGAGGAAAGATTAGACACACAGAGAAGGCCACGTGAAGACGGAGACAGAGATCAGAGGGATGCTGCCGCCAGCCCAGGGACCCCAAGGACTGCCCGCACCCACCAGGAGCCAGGAGGGGGCGCGCAAGGATGCTTCCCAGAGCCTTCGGAGGGACCACAGCCCTCCCCACACCTTCATTTTGGACTTCCGGCCTCCAGAACTGTTAGAGAATCAATTCCTGTTGTTTCAAGCTCCCAGTTTGTGGAAGTTTGTTACAGCAGCGCAAGGAAACTAATACATTTAAGCAAAAAATATGTAAGTTTAAAGTAATGCCTATTAACATCAGAATCAAGAACACAGCAGCGCAAGGAAACTAATACATTTAAGCAAAAATATGTAAGTTTAAAGTAATGCCTATTACATCAGAATCAAGAACATTCAGAAATAGGTAAAAAAAAAAAAAATACAAAAGAAAAAAAAAAAGGAGGGTGACAGATATTCAGGCTCCTGAGCAGGTGGCAGACCTGGCGGGGGAGAGGTGAGTGGCTCAAGAAACTGGCCAAGCGAGTTTGGAAGTGTTGGCTTTGAGGCTATGGAGTGGACATCGGTGATGTCCTGTGACAGGCTCATCACCAAGGAGTTAAATGTCCCTCCCAGATGTGAGGTAGGCATTTCTCAACAAAATTCTACCACTTTTTAATGGCAACAAGTCACGAATTTGTCAGTTTTTCATCGATATACAAACAAACCCATGTTAAGCTTCCTGTCTCCAGTTTGGCATTTTCCTTGACTGTGTTTCATCATTCTAAATTAGACAGCAGGCCCTGCTAGAGAAGGATCTGTTGGCCGGGCTGCCTCTATATATAGCGCCGCTTCCACCATCTTCGAAGGTGCTAAGACTCCACTCATTGATGACGACGGTATCGCTAAAATGGTTACATTTTGAGCTGGAAACAGGAAAGCACCCTCCCCCCGCCCGCCCCCTTGTGAAAACAAGTGGGTGGGGAAGGAGACTCCTCACAGTTTCTAATACTGATCTGGCTCCAATGTAGCCCCATGAAACACAAGTCTATAACGGCCAAATGCCTCTCTGGGAAGACCTTACGAGCTGTCTCTGGGAACTTCCTCGGCAGTAATTAGGGGGACGTGTTATTGCGAGCCCTAAACACACTGGGAGCTGGCTTAATTTTGAAAGATAAAATAAAAGTGTTGCCTTGCGGCAAAAGGCCACTTCTTGGCACCATTAAATCAAGCACAGCCCGGTGTGAGGTGTGAGTATTAATTCTGAAGATGTCTGTACCCGCTGCTGATACTCCTTTTAAGAAGCTGCTACGGAACAAGCCAAATGAAGCCTCAATGTGCAAATATCATTTAGCAAGTACAGATAAGCTGGGCTAAATCATGCTCAGAGCACTTTTAAAAAGATTCAGATTTTCTTACATTAGCACTAGAACATGTTGTACAAGTAACAAGGAAATTGCAGTTGTCAACGTGTGAATTTAGTCTCAGGGTAAGTTCGTCCAAGGAAGTAAAAGCTCACTTTAGATTTTTTCTCCCCCTCCCCCAATCCACGTGTTTCTTTTAGGATGGGGGAGGACACCGTTGCTCAGCAAATATATCTCACATCAAGAAATGGTTAGGGTATCTGCATCAGGGGAAAGGACGTGAAGTTCTCACTTCCTCTCTAAAACAGTCAGAAGTGGGCCTGCAAAGGGCCAGACCATAAATGATGGGCAAGATGTTCTGACGTATAAGTGTGCATGCACAGCTGTGTAGATAGATGATAGATGATTGATAGGTAGATGACAGATAGATATAAATTTTAGAGCTGGCGGTAGATGATAGGTAGATAGATGATAGATAGATGATAGATAGATAGATACATACATACATAGATACATAGATACATAGATACATAGAGATAGATGATAGGTAGATGACAGATAGGTAAGTAGATACATACATACATACATACATACATACATACATACATACATACATAGAGATAGATAATAGGTAGATGACAGGTAGGTAAGTAGGTAGGTAGATAGATAGATACATAGTTGGATAGATAGATAGAGATAGATGATAGGTAGATGATAGGTAGACAGATGATAGATGATAGATAGATACATAGATAAATAGATATATAATATAGATAGATAGACAGACAGACAGACAGACAAGGATAGTTAGATGATAGGTAGGTAGACAGATGATAGAGCTCTGTGTGTATCCTTTTTAATGAGAAAAGGTGGTAACGGGAAATCACAAGGGATTTTCTGGGATTTTGCTGTTGTACTTCTCAGACAGCCTGCCTGCCCATCATCACAGGTGAAGAGAAGCTGGCTGCAGTATCCTGGGTTCAGAGCACATTGTCAGGAGGGAAAGGCCAGCGTCAGGCCTCACCAGGCCGGGCAGGTGGGGACCTGGGGCCTGGACAGAGATCAAGGGTTTGGGAACCCCAGGCCAACTCTGCTGACGTGAACCTGAACTATATTGCAGTTCCAGGGTGACAGGCTGTTTTTTATATCAAAGCAACAAATGAAACTGTCACTTCAGAACGCATCTGGTCTCTCAGACAATTCTACCAGCAGCAGCTACTTCTTTAAATTGAAAGTCAAGGCAATTTCTTTTTCTCAAAACTGTGCTGTCAGCTCTTCTGCCTGACTCCTGGCACCCATTTGTAGCTGCCTCATCCTGAAGAGGGGATGGGATGGACAGAGGCCCTCCCTGGGGACACTGTTTGTGTGATATATGTTTATAAATCTTTGCCCCCAAAGGGCGTGTCTATCAGAAATAAAGATGGGACATATTTAGGGAAAATTTATTTCTTGGGCAAGAGGTATCAAACCAGTCTTCCTGTCAGAAACTTTGAACCAAAATAACTTCAATCCCTTCAAATGACACATCTATATGCACTTGCATTTGATGTTTTCACAATAAAGGGGTAATCTTTCTTATTCTTGTCCTCCTCTACACCCCTCAGACGTTTTTAAATGATGAAATAATTGCACTACGTTTAAACGCATGTAACGGCTGGTATATGTGCACATAACATAGCTTCCCTGTGAACATCTACCGGCAGTGCCAGCAGGGGCCACCACACTACACTGCACTATCCTAACACGATCGTTAGTGTGCAAGGACTTCCCATCGCTTTGTCAAGAGCTCGCCGATTTCTTTTATCTGCGTTCATCTCAGAAAAACATTTGCTATCAATTCAAAATCCATTTCCGACTAGGGAGAATTTGAATTGTCAATAAATATGTGATATTTCCCTAATGGAATCAGAAGTAATACTATCAAGGAAAGGCCTCTTTGTTCAGTGCGAGAACCTTTCCTGTGATGCTGTTACGATCCTGAACTCAGAGCATCAAACAAACAAACAAACAAACAAAAAAACACCCCACATTTCTGAAGTCACGACCTTTGATACTCATTCCCTAGGTCGCATCTTTCCCTCTTAACGAGCTTGTTCCTTGTTTACATTTCATTTTTAATGGCAGGAAGCTATCCTCCTCTTTTTTGATCCCTCACAGAGGCTAATGACATCAAATTTTGAAGTATTTAAAAGAAAAGGGCCGCCAAGCCACTTTCCCAGTTAGCAACTAAAGGAGGCCATGTGAAAGCTGGGCCCAGAAGCATTCTCAATAATTTTATGATTACACATCTCTCAAGTATACATTTTGAGGAAAATACACAATTAAAAATGGAGAAATCCACACCATTTAATAAGTTAGTTATTAAATGGTTTTAAATTAGCCAGGGAAAATTTACTCTTCTAAATGATTTAACCTTTTCAATGATCATTTCATCTGTTTTTTATAGTAAAAAATCAAAGATATGAGAGCTATGGAAAAGACATGCTGGGTGAGGATCTGAAACCGATTTGGTAGCTTTAGAGTTGACATATTCTTGGCCTGGTGTAGCTCACTTTGGAAAGCTGCCTCAGATTTCCCCTGGTTTTGAACTTTTTTTCCTTACCACTTTCATCTAGCAAGAAATCATCCTGGTAACGGAACTTCTCCGGTCCACATGCAATAAAAATGTCATCGTCACCAAAAAAGTCCTGAAGGCACATCACCTACAAGAGAAAAGCATGGCACTCAGCAAGGGGTCAGCAGAACAGCAATTACAACAATGCACCAGCAAGTCGACATCTGCATGAAGCCACTTCCTGTCTAATGCAATCAACAGGGCGGCTTCTCGAGGGGAATTTCAAAGGAAGGTCTCCAGCATCTGGTACTAGTAAGAAACATGTTACGTTGCCGTGGTGCAGGAAGACGGGATAAGGAAAATAGAACTGGTAACTGTCACGTTTATTACTTGATATATCAATAGGCTCGAGGTAAGAGCTCTTTATCCTTATCATAGAGTGGATGCAACAACATGTGGAAAAGGAATGCCCCTTTATTCTTCTGAACATAATATTCCTTGATGGCAATAAAAGTCAGCATATGATTTTAGCAACAAATATATTTTTTGGTAACTGATGCCATAATATGTACATGATGATCACTGTTTGGGGTAACTACAGAAGAAAAATTGTTGTATCGTAATATGAATATAATGACCTTCCTTAGACCCCTCCTACCTCTAGTTGGAACAGAAATGAAACCCTTCGTAAGAAGAATAACAGAAAAAGTAAATTATTGCTGAGATTTAGATATGCAGACTATGGCAACTGCACGCCCACCGCTCAAGCTATGCTAAACTTTAAAACTTCTTGTAGTCATGTAAAAGGAAAGTTTTAAAACAACCTTTTGATATTTATTCAACTTATTATTCTCCAATAAGAACTTGTAGGGCTAAATGCTGTTTTTCAGGTAAATGTGGTCAAAATGGATAATGTCAAGCATCTTGCTCTCTGTCTTTGGACGGGTGGCGTAACATTCAGTTCACAGTGTGTCTGATGCCAACACGAGGCACCGGGAACACTGCTGATTTCTATGGCGTTTCAATTTCCTTCGCCGTGTGGAGCAAATCCTACAGCAGTCGATGGAAGGCTCCTGTTTAGATCTGCAGGAAACAGACTCTCGAAATAGCATTTCCCTTGGATAGCTGAGGACCAGAGTCTAACTGTCCTGGGGTGTTAGGTTCCTTTGGCCTGAGTTTAATAAAAGCTCCTCCCTTATTTATTTATAGTTTCATCTGCAAGCTCTCTCCGGGGCTCTGCTCTTTGTCAGTCCTTGGTGGCACTACCTGGACACATCAAAGGTGCTATGAGACTTAAAGTCGTAAGTTGGGAGAACACAGCATTATTTAAAGTCCACCAATACAATGATGTGTAGACTGCAAATAGTTTTTCCAAATAATCACTTGGCTGAAGTTTTTAAGAATGCCATTTCGATACAGTTTGATGATAAGCATTAAGTATGTGTGAGGCACATCCGCAGTTTTCCGTGCTTATTCTGTCTGTGAAGGCTCGAAGTCACAGGCGATTTCAGAGGGACACTGCAGTCACCAAGGAAGACAGACCGAAGGTCTCCAAGAACGGAGCAGAAGCTCCAACCTTCTACTTAGGTTAGAAATAAGCCCTTCGCATTCAGAACTCATGCTCCATTTCACCCTCTCTTTCTTCTGATTCCAGCTATGACCTCAATTATCTTTACATACAGGACACGGTCTCCCCGCCTCCCCCCAGCGGCCTTCATGGCATCCTCTTAACCCACCCCATACAGGCCATTTTCATTTTATGTGCATAAGTCTATACTGTGCCTATGTCAATTAGCATAAAATATATACATATAAAAATGAGTAAGACATGGTCTCTCCATTAGGCAAAAATGTGAACAATGAACCCTAAAAAACAGACTTGGGAAATACTGAGTTTAATCCAATATAAACAGGTTTATTTATAAACCGGTCTTCTCAAAACACTTAATGTGCTAATGTACTTCACAACTCCAAGAAGGAGGCAGAAAGGGCCAGTACTTCCCAAACTTATTTGATTCTGGAACTTTTCTCCCGCTGCACCGTATGGACCAGTGTTTGACGGGGTTCCCTACAGGTACTCTGCTGGCTGCCGCAGGTGAAAAGCACTCTGGGAACACAAAGAGGGGAGACAAATCGCCTACTCTCCTCCTGGGCACCCCTATTTCTCTAGCTGATTAATGCTTATTTGCTAATTTTTAACTCATGCGAACATTTATGATGGGCCTACTCTGCGCCAGGCTCTATGCCAAGCATCTGATGACAAATCTCTGATAGATGAAAAGTATTTTTTCCCCAAAGAAAATTGTCCTTTCTTTCCACATGTTCCCATCATTTGCATTTTAGAACATCAGATTGCTAACCAGATCACATTCATCTACGTGTGCGTGTGTGGACAAATAACTATTATCATAACACACATAAGCAGGTGCCAGCCAACTGGTTTCCATCACATGCCAATGACCATCCCCCAAGCCCGAGGCACAAAAGAACACAACAGACAACGATCCAGCTTGGATGGTTTAGGTATAATTCTGTTGGAAAGTAGGAGATGAAACATGATGAACTTTTGATGTTGTTTCCAAACCCGAGATTCCAAGAACATGAAAGCAAAGCAGCGATAGTTCAGGAAAAGTCACTGTCTTCGCCCAGCGCAAAGAGACAGGCGAAGGTCATTCAGTGTCAGGCAACATGTATTCATTTACCTCGCAGACTTCAGAGGCTGAAATCAAAGAATGGGGTGAACTCTGAGAAACCGTGACGTTTTCTGTGCTCTCTGCTCTGGCGTCATTTAACCATTTCCCTGTTCACAACCTCCCACCAGAGAAGGTGGGTGTGGTCAGTAGATGAAATTCAAACTTATAAAACTGTTCCTTGGTAGAAGCCTTGGTAAAAGATTTGATAGCAAAGGAGCCTTCAACACAAGTTTACAAAAAAGATGGATTTAGGATAATCTGTGTGCTTTAATTATCCATGCTCTCATACCTATCATGGATCTAGAGGTAGCTGTAGTGTATTCCATCCAACAAAAAAGAATCACAGAGGAGCATTTATAACCCTTTGTTCTAGGCCAATATACTTTGAGAATTGTCCTTTATGCATTACTGTACATTCTCGTATCAAAGGATTAGAAAGGGTAGAGAACTGTAAAACCAATATTTTGCCTTATGGTCTGATTTTACACATTATTTATCTATCTATCTATCTATCTATCTATCTATCTATCTATCTATCTATCTATCTATCTATCATCTATCTACCTATATCTATCTATCTATCATATTTTGTGTTATTCCTTATTAAATTTGATGTTCTCAAAATTGAGTGTGATAACCAGCTTAAAAAAATAAGTTCTTTTTATGGATAAAAACACTCTCTTTGTTACAACAGAGGAGTGACAATTGACCTATTCTTTTATGAAATCTCTGCTCAGCAGGTTATCATGTGTTTGGAAACATCCGTCTAGATTAGATACAGAAAAGATGCGTAGGCAGAGCTATCAGGTCTGAGAAAAAAGAGGTGTCCAACCTGTGGAGAAGCAGCGGCTCCCTCTCCAAGCTTTCCTGTGTCACCACTGTTCTCCTGCCCCCAGAAGAGTTGGTATTGTCAGCACCTGCTCTTCACCATTGTCTCACTATGGCCATAGATTCTGCCTCTGCAACATCTCTCGAACCCAGGCTTTTTCCTGCCTCCCCTCCCTTCATCTCCGTCGCCACGTCAGTCCAGACCTTATCCTCCTACCTGTGCACCCTGGCGTCTCCCTCCGGTGGATTTTCTCACCCCGCCTTCTCTCTCTCTAATCCATCCTTTTTAATTCCGTCAATCTACTCTTTCTTATCTAACTTTCAAAATCACCACTGGCTTACCATCGTCAAGTTGAAATACATCTTCTGAGCATGGCATTTCAAACTCTTTGAAATCTGGTTCCATCCTATAGTTTATAGTAGTTTTAGCCATGATGTGGAGCCTGATACTTTATAAGAATTTGTTGGATGGATGAATAGATGGATAGATGGATGGATGGATGGACTGAAGAACTGCTCTAATCTGAAACACTCTCCAGTTTATCTGCTTTACTTATTCTTCTCAGAAAACAGCTTTTTCTTTCCCACTCGTGTGGTCTTTGGTATCTAATTTTTTCCCATTAGGTATCCCATCCTACCTAACTCTTTCTATTCAGATCCTTCCTATGACTCAAGATTCAGTTGAAGATTCAATCCTTACCTTCTCTATCCACTCCTATCCGAAGTGACTCACCCCTGCTCTGAACCCCTACTCATCATTCAATGTGTTTACTGAACATCTATTATTATTAAGAATATGACTGCCCTCAGTCTTTACCTCTTCTTTTCCAGTATCTATGCGTACAGACTTACACTCCAAAGAATTCTTGTCATACTGCCATGAATTAGTATTCAGCAGAGACTAAGCTGTGGGTTTAGTCTCTTTCTGTGGGTTTGTCCCAAGCCTGCCACCGCCACTTACTTGGGCAAGTCAGGAAACTCCAGTCAGCTGTCTCGAAATGTGTTTTGTTTCAAAAAGATCCTAAATTTAGTAAAGGCAGAGGCAGTGTCTCCCGTTGGGCGCGGTTCTTTGGCACAATGGAGACACGCTCTGGCATAATTTTGCAAGAGCACAGGCTCCTTGTCAAAGCTTGGAATCTGAATTAAGCCACTTAGATGTTCATCTCTTTGTGCCTCAGTTTATCATAATGATTGTTTTAAGGATTAGATGAGTTAAAACCGTGAACAGGAACAGAATGAGTCCTTGATAAATTTTACCTATTTTTATTAGCCCAAATGCATTTTTTACTTCCAAATAAATACAAATCAAATGTGTACCTAATACAGGCAGACTTCGGAGGTATTGTGTGCTCTGTTCCATGCCACCACAATAAAGCGAGTCATAATCCTTTTGCTGGTGGGTGTCTTGCCTTCAATTTGCAAAAAGCACAAGATCAATAAAATGGGGTCTGTATAAACAAATAAAATTTTAAAAAGAACAACATAGTATACAGCTCCTGAACACTACACCAACAGGCTTCCTTCCTAAGTGGATTTGGTTAAGATGTAGTATGTGAGCATCCCTTCTCACTTCAGGAATAGAGATTTTACTAGTATAATTATTTTGCTGAAAAGCATACTTTGAGTC